TATGAAGATTAAAGGGGGAAAAAATGCCAGTGACGTTCTGCACTCAATAGACCATGCAGCCCAGGATTAAAGTTAACTTAATTTGGGAGAGGATGTTAATATAATAGAAAGAGGTTAATAAGCTTAGATTCAGCATTCTGCACAAGAGAAAAAAGCCACCTCAAAAGTGTTTGAACATGTAATGAAAAAGCAGACTTTTATTGTCATTTTGTCCATTATTCAGCATTGCTGTAAATGGCTTACATTTACGGCAGCTTCTGTACAGACGTGTGGCTTTGAATTACCAGAACAGCAAAATTTAAAATGAAAATAAATGCTTAACAATTCCACACAAGATTTTACAGTCCAACATTTTCACTGATTATGTTGAAAGACACTGTTACTACAGTTATTCGGCATGAATAAAAAACTACAACTTTTGTTTTAAGACAGGAGCCACTTGTTTTAATTCTTTTTACACTGTTTAAAATTACTGTGATAAAAATAATGAAAAAAGCTTTTTTTTTTATTAATGCCATACACCAGCATAATATAGCATTTGTCCCCATTATATATTTTTGTATAATATACAAAATAGAATGTTGACAAACTGTTGAATCCGTGCTATTAACTCTGTTGGGTGGAGTGGGTGGGAGGTGACAATTTTCATACATGTGGTCTTTTTCCAGAAAAGCCTCAAAAAGGGTCCTTTAATGTGTTTAAAAAAAAAAAACAACCAATATGAGACTCTTTGCCTTGCCTGAAAGTATTTTTCAATGTAACAGCAATAGCATAAAAATGTAGGTACATTAGAATAGCCTAATTCACTTCGGTGTGAATCAGGTGATAGGTGAGGCTTGTGTATGAAAGGGGGGGGGGGAAATTCTGGTCCCTTTCTATAAAATACTCAAGTGCATACTTCAAATTAAAGTGGCTTGGCCACCAGGGCCTTGCCAACCATTCTCAAAAATTATTGGTCTTAACCCTATTACACTCAAGAGGTATCTCAACAGACTTCAAAGAACCATGAAGAAAGTATATTTCCATCCATCCCTGCTGTTTCAGCATTTAATACAATAAATCTAGTATTTGATTCTCTTCCACGTCTGTGTGTATTTGTGTGTGTGTGTGTGTGTGTGAGAGAGAGAGAGAGAGAGAGGAGAGAGGTTTTTAAAAGGTTATTAGAGCGGTAAGGATAGAATGTGAAGGAAATGCACAATATTTACTTTATGAAACTGCACTACTAAAGTAGGCCTAACATGTTTTTAAAATGAGTGATTCCACATTTGGGTGGCTCTTCAGAACAGAGGAAATGAAAACAGTCATTGGTTCAGTTTTGCAAAGGCTTACACAAGTACAAAAGGAAACATGCATGCAGCGGCATAAAGGGCAATTTCTACAGCCTTCTTGGCTTCTACAAATACTTATGCAAGGGGGGGGGGAATCTTTGGACTCAGTTTCACTTTCCTTTGGCACAAAATGTAACATGTTCTGTTTCTAAAAAGGAGCACCTTCTGCAGATAAAAGTGATAACTTTTGAATCCAACATTCAGTTTGAAGGAATATGTGCATTTTTCTCTGCAGTTCCAAGTCTTCTGGAGAGTCTACAGGAATTATAAACAAATGATACCATGCGTGCATAATGCACTCCTGTATAAATAAAGTCACACAATTTTGTATTTTTGTTGTGTGAGATCTATTTGACCCAAGATAGGTTATCAAAGCTCATCCCCTTCCCAGAATGTAGAAGGGTTAAATTCTTTGTATCATAGTAGTGGACTCTATACCACCATGGAGAATTAAGATCCGACAAACATTTTGAACCCTAAACAAATTGTATGAGCCTGATGTTTCTAGGCAACGCCCATCACTTCAAACTCTATTCATAGGGAACTATAACAACACATCTCATTTTTCCATTCCCTGACTTATCCTTCTTCCCTGCCCTAATATGAAATTATGAAGCTTAGAAGCTCTGTTTTTAAAGGTAGGTTGGCACTTGTTTCCATATTTGTGTTCATTTTATATTTCTCTGATTTTTTTTCATTATCAATTGTATTTTTAGTTTAATCTGACTGGCAAGATTGGCATACTAATCATAAGCACATATTCTTAGGAATCACTTCAACAGGTAATAAAAGTTAAAATAAGGATACTTGGGTTTATAGCCAAATAAGCTCCTTCCTTACTTTTTAGCATTTCATCTCTCCAATTCCATGCCTGAATATATTCTATGAAAGACTATTCCTACCAATGACCTTGAGAAATGTTAGCATACCACATTCATATATAGTGCTATCCAAATCATTTCCAGGTCAGCATGATCTGGCAAGGCACTGAAGAGACAGAAGTCATAATTTTCCCGTTTTATTTGCAGTGCTGATTTCCCACAGCACAAAAAAGAATAGCCAAACAAAATCACATTTTGTTAAATGCTTATATATTTAAATGGCTTTTGTTTAAAATCATTTAGCACATTTAAACTGAAATTTTCTAAAATCAGCATTTCTATGTTTAAGAAATTCATAAATTCAACAAATATTTTACATAGAATAAAAGCCTCTTTCCAACCCATAGACACTTTGTCTTCACAGACACAGGATACCTCACTTGTGTTGGTAAACCATCATCACACACACATATTTGTTAATCACACATTCCTAGCTTTCTTAAACTTCGCAGTGGGGGCGAAAATATTTAATACATGTCACTTTCCAAGTATAATTTCTGGTATCCTCGTGTGTTATCTTTCCAGGAGCATTTTTGAAAGTAAATACTGAAGCCTGTTAGTGTTAACCAAACACAGTCAAAATGGATTTTCAATAGTTTGCATCCTATTGTTAAAATATCCACTGATGCTTAAGTAAATGGCTAAACATGTAAATGTTTACAAGCTTATTCAGTAGCACAGAATATGATGTGTGCCTGTTTCTGGGTATCTTGTAAATTGTCACTAGAGCAGTAATACTTGGAACTGCTATGTGAGTAGCACCTGAAGAGAAAATCATGCAGAATGCTGGCTTTACACAAAATGCTATTCCAACATGTGGTTTCTCTGTGGCTTAGTAGGCTTTGTAAACCCATACAGGGATATCAAGGAAACATGGCTTGGTTTAGTTAGGTGAACCAAGCAAACTGTGGCCTATTCAATAAACCACGATTAAGCAACTGGTGATGGAGAAAGCTTTTTTCCCTGTGCAACAGTCAGAAGAAGATTATGTGAAACAGGGATATATCTCTTTTCCTTTCTATTCTGTGGTTTTTGCAAACTGCATCTCGGGGCTATCTAGCTGTTTTGAGAAAATTCACAGCAGCTGAGAAAATTTACAGCTCCTAACTCTGCAACTGCACAGATACCATAAAGAAAAATCTTTCCTTTCATTACATTTTCTATTTTACTCCCCAGTACTGAATGCAGTGCTCAGGAGATTTTCATTTATAAGCCTCACATTTTTAAAGAGGATTAAGACAAAGACAAAAATAGCACAGGTAAAATCTCTCGTTTTACAAGGAGCAATTTTGTTGAATAATTAGAAATGTACTTGACTGTGTTCAAACTGTGATCTATATTCACATATTGCTGGTACCTATATGCATTTTATTGCCAAATTGGTCTGTTTTGCTATACTCAAAAAGAGAATATTTGAAAATAATCACAGGTTGGTGGTGTGAACATATAGGCTAAGGCATACATGAGCCCACTATTTAATCTTTTTTCTTCTTCTGTGTGTTTTGTCTGTATATATGTGTGTTTGTGTATGTGTGTGCGTGTGTATGTAGGGCTTTCATAAACCCACTCAGATTCTAGAGATTCAGTTTGGGAATATGGGGAAACCAAACACATAGATTGGATTATCATACTTAATTCCCAACCCTTTTTTTCCTACAATGGTCTAATGGATTTACATTTTTGCCCCAGAAACTTCCACTGAATATGGGTAAGTTCATTTAGAACAATAAGGAAAAGAGAAATAACAGAAATACATAATAAAATTAGAGTACCTCTTAGATACTTCAGCACAATGCTGTGAAGACTAATACTTCCAGACAAACCACATTTTTATGGGTCACCATATCAACACATTTGTGACCCCTAGAAAAAATATATGTGTCATGATAAAGCAATCTGTCATCTAAAAACCTTTCTTATGATACACTATACAAGCTATTATACAATAAGTTGATAAACTGCATTTAAAGCTGTATTAGCCCTTCCTTTCTTTTCTTCAAACACTATCAGATTCTATACATTTGAAAGTATAATTAAACAAAATTGTATTAGTAACATATCACATTATGATTGTTAATTCTTGTTAAGCATTTATACCTCTTGTTTTATTTTGGCCACTTAAAATATTTTTCTTTTGTTTTTTTAATGTTTAGAGTGGCATTGTATTTTAAATTTACTGAAAATTCTTAAGGTGCTCAGAGGATGGGCTACTACAGCTTACAAATTGTTTAAAACAACAAGGAAAAAAAATCACAAGACATATATGGTTGTTTTATGGCACACTAGGAGTTTGATAGAGAAGGACTGGAGCTGTACAGAGACCAAATACTATTCTAAAGCACAAAATCAGCAGTGGAATCTTGGTGTTCTCCAGACTGGTTCACTTGAGCGAGAGAATGAAAAACAGAAGTGAAGCCATATACAAGTTTGGGACTTTAATTTTCCATAAAAGTTTTTTTTTCTTCTTGTAGTTTGGTCTGTTTTCTTTTCTGCATAAAGCTAAAAATCTTATTTGAATTAAAATCTTTTAAGAACCATTAGAAACATACAGGGTAGAGGTACAATTATTTGGAAATCCTGGTTTATATATATATGTATATATATGTATATATATATATATATGTATATGTATGTATATATATATATATATATATATATATATATATATATATATATATATATATATATATATATATATATATATATATATATATATATATATATATATATATGTACTTATATATAATGTATGTATATGTGTTTGTGTGTGCATGTATGTATATGTATGTGTGTATGTGTGTATATCACCCATACACGCACAGAGAAATGTAGTCATCAACTTCTAACTTAAAATGGAGTCAGGGTTGTATACATTTGCCTTCAATCCAGTGTGCAATCTAACAACAGAAACTGGCTTGCTGAACTGCTTTATTGGGAGTCAATATAGCTACTGCAAGAATAGGTGGGGTTTAGACTCCAGGGACCCTAATCCACTGGATATGCACTGCCCATCATATTAAGTCTGAAACTTTTCACCCTACTTTCTAGCAGTTCTGATCACATTTGAGGGAAGAGGTTTCCCTTTAGAATCTACCAATTCTGAGATCCCAAAAGAGGTAAATTTGTTATTTGTTCTGAAAAATATGAATAGGCTACCAATACTGTTTTTTCTACATGTAAATTTTAAAAGCAGAGGTTCTGCAATGTCCGAGTGTCGAATGAGAACAGATATGCCAATTTCTGTGCACATCGATTTTGGTATGCACGATATAGCTGCTCTGGATTGTGGCCATTGTATATATAATATACACTGATACACATTGAAGTACACACGTATATGGCAATAATTGTGTATGGAAAAAGTTAATTTCTCCATGTATAAGTAAACTTTTGAACAATTATGCATATTTTCCTGAAAGTTTCCTGATGGGCAATCAAGACTGATATTTTTAATGTCAATCCAGCCCAAGATTCTTACAATTATGGCTATTGCATTAAATGCAAATATCTAGGCTGCTTTAAAAATGTTTGTGTTCATTAACACTTTTTAAGACAAAGCTAGTTTTCTAGTAGCTCACAGAACATGCACGACTGATATCAAAAAATAAGCAATTCCAGTGTTCAGGTTAGATTTGGAATACATTTCAATCCCCATTCCCCACTGAAGAAGGCTGAATTATAGGCCAAATTTAGAAGGGTTATTAGGACAGTCATATTAGACAAGCCACCTTATATTCATATGATTATACTTGAAGTTCATTATTTAGAAGTCATTAAGCTATGAGCTGCCCCACTTTAAAAACAGCTGTACAATAGGCATCTTGAAGTTTTACAAAAATTATGTAAGAAAAAATGAGCAAGCTAGTCCACTGTATATAAAGGTAAAGGAAATTGCTAAAACCAGACAGTAATAGCTATAAAAGGCACAACTTCCCTTTTCTGATATACAGTTGTAAACTTTCCTCATGTTACATGCATAAATCAAAAATGCTACTTTAACTATACAAAACAATCTATACCAAAACAAAAATCTAGAAAATTTTAACCAGCCAACTGCAGAAACTCCTAGCAGAATGTTGACAATGCAGATTCCAAATTTGACAATGCTGCTTTTGATGCATTCTATACTGCCAGCATGATGGTATATATAGAGGAAAAATTCCAAGCCATACTTCTTTCTTTTTCTTTCTTCTTGTATTCATTCAGTTGAGGTGTCTTCTAAAAGCTAGATCTTGGCCCTCTGTAAACCACATGTAGTGCATAATTACAAAACAAAAACAAAAATACCTAATATAGGTACAATAACAAAATCTCTTAGTTTATAAAAAAAGAAGTTATAATTTGACTTTTTTTTTTCTTAAGGCAACCTTTCTGTATTAAGGCAGTCACTTCTGATGAAATAGGAGCTTCTTGATATTCCCATTTGAATATTTTGGTAACTGATTGCTGATAATTTCTGCCAACATTTCTGGAAACTCAATACTCATGGATTTATCCAAAAATGTTTGGAAGCAAAAAGTTAGAAGATTCTCAACCACCTGTAAATGATAAGAAGGAAGGATGAAGATTTATTGTACTCAAAAATATTTTAAGCATATTTTATCCCTACATCTTTAATACAACAAAGTTGTTTTGAGTACTTATGTAAAAGATTGTGTCTGTATGTACACACATATTCACACACGCACACACAAAATAATAGTAAATAAGAAATGTATTTGTACTGAGGTACAAAATAAGATGATAAAAGAACACAGTCTCAATTCAGTTATTACATCAAACAAACACAATGCTCATTAAATATGGAGAGTCTGGACTGAATAGATTCATCATTTGTCTGCATTCTATTCTGCATTCCATATTCTTTAGGGGCAGTACAACAAGAAGAAGGGCAATTATTTAGGCATCATGCCAACAATAATCAGAATAACATGGTTTATCAATCAACTTTAATTTTGTTGTCCAATTAACTGGAAATCTCTTGATTTGGCATACAAATTGTAAAATATAATATAATAAATTCAGTTCAATGTAACGGTCATAAGAAAATTCAAGAAATGTGCTTTTCTACACATCCTAGCTCAGTGGTGGCGAACCTATGGCACGGGTGCCAGAGGCGGCACTCAGAGCCCTCTCTGTGGGCACGCGCGCTGTCGCCCCAGTCCTAGGCCTTTAGCTGGGTTTTATAAAACCTTTTTGCTTTAGGCCTCCGCCGCCGTGTGCAAAAAAAAAAAGGTTCAATCAGTCAATTTCAACTTCTCGCGGGGAAAAAAAAAGATCTTGCAAAATTGAAATTGATTGATTGAACTTTTTAGTCCCACCCAGTCTGCCATTACCACCGCAGCCACGCCCACCCAATTGGTCACGCCCACCCAATGGGCCAAACCCACCCAATGGGCCACACCCACCCGGCACTCGACGATGCATAAGTGGGTTTGGGTTGCAGTTTGGTCACTCAGTCTCTAAAAGGTTCGCCATCACTGTCCTAGCTTGTTACATTGAGAGGCAGAATAACATGCGATCTAAATATATATTTAAATAGCCTGCAGCTGGTGTTCAACTTCCCAGCAGGGAACTGCTGTTCAACAAGGATTACAATAGCTGGTATCAATAAATAAAAGTTCTTATAACTATGCTACTTTATTAATGCTCTGCATCTTAATTATTTTTATGCTCACTGAAACAATTAAAACAGGGTAATAAGACTATGACCTTCCTCTTCTTCCTTCAATAATTTAAACATCAATGCATACACATTCACCTGGCTTAAATTTTCCCATTTAACTAAAACATCATCCTTATTGGTGAATTAATTCTCTCCACATTTTTATTGACTACATTGAAACAATATACAATAAATCTTACATCATGCATGGAGTCCAAAAGTTTCGTTAGTTGATAAAATCGTTGCCAGTTCTGACTAGAGTTTCCTTCTCTCTTCACAATGGCTTTCCCCAACTCTTTGATGTATGTCATACGAATTTCATCAAAGAGAGCCTGACTCCTTAAGCCCTCCTTAGGAACTGGATTAAGATGACAGAATATTCAATTACATATTATCATTTTACATTCACAATAACCAGTGCAACACAAAAATGCCCTGACCTGTGCTAAGCTTCCAGAAGCGGTGAATGCTCCAACACTGGAAGTTTTAAAGAAGAAACTGGACAGCCATTTGTTCGAAATGGTATAGGGTTACCTGCCTGAGCAGGGGGTTGGACATGATGACCTCCAAGGTCCCTTCCAACTTTATTATTAATTATTATTATTATTATTATTATTATTATTATTATTATTATTATTATTATTATTATTATTCTGTAATCATTAGTGCACAACTGCATGGATCATACATGCATGGTAGATTGTCTAAAAAAAAGCACGCATTATTGAGCAACTTTATATATAAATACTCTGTAGCAATTTGTTTCCAAATATAAATAGTTATTGGTTCTCTCATTTTTATCCCTTTATTCATCAACATCTAGGTTTCTACTGTATTTTGAAAAATTAATCTCTTTTTCAAAAACTCTTAACAAACCAGCCTCATTATGGGGTAGATTTACTGTCAGGTTCAATTCAATTCTGCATTTATTTACAAAAGGAATGGGAAACTTATATTCAGTAAGATACTGTTGGGACTCCCCTGATCCCTGACCTCTGGCTCGAACAATAGGAGTCACTCAGATAATTTATTTTGAATTTTTTGTGCAATATAACAATCTATCTCATCAATATGAACTATATTATATATATTGGCCATGGTCAAAATTCCACTTACAACAAAATTGGAGTCATCTTAACAACCAAGCACTTTAATAATTTCTGAAAGTAAAATATTTTCTGTCTGGCAGAAATTCTGCAACCTTAATCATCAATCACAAAATAAACTATTTCAATACACTAGGAAATATATTTATAATGGATTCATTACTTATTCCTACTGATTATCCTTAGACAGGTAAGAGTTTAGCAGCAAAGAAAATAGCACAGCAACATCTTTTTGGATTGAAACTACCGGTAGGTTTCATATTTCCCAGATCACTGTTCAGTGATGAAGATGGAGTCACAATTTGCAAAATAGATCAGGATTTTTGTTTTGTTTTTTTAAAAAAATAAGGGCAGAAATAACCACTTACTTGTAGAGAGAAGGAGCAAAGTTTTCATGCAGAGATATTCTTCATAGGAAACCTGAAGACGGGCTAACTCATTAGTAACCATCAATAAACGTTTGCACTGATCATACATGCATGGTAAATTCATTCTCTGCCTGAAAAAGGAGCACACACAAATCTGTATCAGTAAAAGAAAACCAATAGATTTCTTTATGGAATTATTTTAACACCTCTTGAATATCTCTGAAAGTTGAAGAAGTCCCATAGCTTCAACGTTATTTTTTTTTTTTTTTTGAAGAAAATAGGACATATGGCCACATCCCAATACTCTCAAAAGAGACTGCTGTTCAACTAGTTTGGTGGCCAACTATTTACTATGTTTATAAGCTGTATTTACAAAGGCCTCAAATAGGGCTTAAGAGTAAATGTTTCAAATGGACTTTGAACAGCAACTTATATCAACTGGAACTTCTGGACTTCTATCAAGAGCAGGCTCACATCAGGCATCTTACATAACCTAATCTTGAAATGGCTGGAAGATTTAGTAACTGCAGCAAAAATAGATCAAAAAGGGTTCCTGTGGCATACCAAATGAATCTGGACAAAAGCTCTCATTATAGCCTTCATTTTTTTTCTTAAGATGGGAGTGATCCCGAATGAAGAAAACTTCAGAGGAAATACAGATAATTTCATCCAGAACAAAGTGACTGCTCTATTTAGATTCCCCTTTCCCTCCTTCCATCTTGTCTGAATATTCAGAACAAAAAGATTCTGCCAGATTGATAGGAGCCTGGATCGGAGTAAAAGCTAGAATGAAAGATTTGTGTCATATTTCAATTAGCTTACCTCTTCCAAACATTACAGCATCACACATGTATGTACTCTAAGCAGAACATGACCCAGCTTGAATTTCTCCATTGCTCAAAAATGTGTCTTGCAGTTCGTTGAAATACTGATTTACAGGTAGTCCTCAGTTACCAACTGCCTTGTTTAGCAACTATTCAAAGTTACAACAGTTGAAAAAAAAAACCCTCCTATTTATAGCTACTGCAGTGTTCCCATGTTCCTATCATCAACATTTAGGCACTTTTAAACCAGGTGGTATTTTGACAGTGACAGCATCCTGCAGTCACGAAATCACCATCTGTATGCCTCACAATCAGTTTCTGACAAGCAGCCAATAGAGAAGCTGGCAGTGAAATTGCAAGTTGTGGCCACTTATTTGCTTAATGACAGTAGCAGAAGTGACCCTGTAAGTCCAATGTGGTCACAATGTGCTGAGCCTTCTTAATGCCTATGCAGGCAGAAACTCCTGATGTATCTCTCAACTCTGAAGAGCGGCAGCCCCTGAATGGGTAGACCATTTGCTCTTCTCATCTTTCTTGAAAGAGCATCCTCAACACTTCCTTTCAGAAAAGAGCATCCCAATTGAAAGAGGATTGTTAGATATTCTTAGGGTAAGGAACTATGTCTAGAATAAAGGGGGTAGCAGTATATGCTCTATTTCCTCATAATAAATGTTTTAAAATATTTTTGCTTACTTATATTTTAGTATGGAGAAAATCAATAGGTAAGAAAACTTTTAAAAATTTATCTGTCTTCTTTTCGAACTAAACTTGACGCAGTTTAAAATGTGTACTTATTGCTGGTAAAATTGTTTTATGACTGTAAGATTACTGGAGATGTTTAATGTAAAAAAAATCTGCATTGCCAGTAAATAGTTTTTCCCCATTTTTTGTTTTAAAAAATTACTGAAATATATTTAGTCTCTAGTTGTAAATAGTTCCAACATAGCTTATGAATTGGTCGGAGGAAGGTAAAATTGATTCCTTTTTTCAGAATCTATTTTTTGCAATTACACTGCCATTTTAATACTATGGCAATATTTAATTCCTTAAGAATCCCTAGTTTTTATTTATTTAAGGTGTTTATCTGCCTTCATTTGAGGCAGTTTACAGATTCAAGATATTATCACAAAAGCCATGAAAAGGGGAAGTGACAAACTAATTCTTATTCACTTCTCCTGGAAGTAAGAGAGATTGAAATAAGATACCCATTAAGTTAAACAACACAGTGGCTGTTTAAATCCAGATCTTTCTGATTCAAACTTTATGCAATATGACACTCTGGTTCCCTATTTATTCATATAGGCTACAGTATTACCTCCTTTTAGCAGAATTTCTGTTTCTCCAGTAAAACATTATTTTAACTAGCAATCTATATGTAGTTCTATGCCTTTTATAGTGTAAGTTAATTACCTGAAAAATTATTTGAAAAAGTAACAATTTTTAAATCAAATTGATGTTTCATTTAAAGATAGGCAACTGTATCCTTTTCTTCATGGGACTTCCTTTCAAGATTATCTGAAAGTTGCAATTAGTTACAGTAGCCTTCTGTCAGGAAGCAAAAGCCATTACAGCCAGGTACACTGATTTTGTAAGCATTGCATTGGCTTCCAAGTAGAATTCAAAATGTTGGTTGCAAAGCATTTCATGGCTTAGGACCAGTATCTCTGGGATGAGTTTTTGGAAATTTATAGATATGGACAAGGTGTTAAGTGCTGACTCACTGCAAGATATGCATGATGCTTGTGTTCCTACCTGGGGAACACAAGCATTGCGCATATGTTGTAGGTTAACTTCAACTACACTTGTACAAAATTGTGCCAATTCATTGTGCTGCTGGAGAAGAATGTGGAGGGCTTGGAAGCACATCCAGCCATATTAAGATTCATCTTAAAAGACAAGCAGTTTCTGAGTAAGGCAAAGGGATGTCTACAAAAAGAACACAGGAAAGAAGGTGGAAGGAGAAGCCCTGGAAAAGAAGGGTTGACAGCATATAATATGGAGGACTAGGAAAAACAGGAGGTGGTGCCTGTCACTGAAAAATCAATTCAGTCTTTCCCCTGAGGGATGATTCATTTCTGAAGGTTTTCATTCAACATTCAAGTGAAAGGGAGAGAAGCTTGGGCTTCTATAGATATGAGGAAACTAATGTCTGTCCTGAAGAGAAAAAGGTGTATGGTGGTGATAATTGCCTCAATGTTAAGAGGAATGGAGTTAGCAATTGTAGGAGACAGACTAGCCGAGCCAGGGAGAGCACTCAAATAGGGACTTAGTCTAGAATGCCTACATGAGCACAAGATAGAGAAGTTCAACCTCCCATGAATGCTGTTGAATCTCATCTAGTCTCAGCTAGGTGCAAAACCATTAGCCTGAAAACATTCCTGTGTATACGCTTGAGCAATAAATCAGCTAATTGAATTATTCATGTGTGAACCTGGTTGTTTCAGGCCTGACAACAATCTGCAAATCAAATATAACATCAAGAGAAGAGTGTATTTTCTCCCAGATCTAGGATATGATGAAGAGGCGACCCAACTAATTAAATTACCGATGGTTCCCATCCTTCTGTTTCATGTTGGAATAAATCATACTGCAAGAAAGAGCCTGAAAAGATTATCAAAAGACTGTAAGGAGATAGGCAGGAAGGCAAAAGAATCAAGAGATATTTTTATCCAACTGAAGATCATGGCCCAAGAATGGAACGGAGGTTTCTGGATGTCAATCATTTTCTCAAGGGAAGAAAACTTTGTATTTCTATACAATGATCTACACAATCAACAGGAAGGGCTTTTGGTGAGAGAGGGGCTGAATTTTACCAAAATTAGGAAGAATATTTTCAATAGACATCTTGTTCTCACCATCTGGCAGTCTTTAAACTAAAATGATGGGGGAGGAAGTACAATACCCAGAAATCCTAAAAAAAAAAAGAGTAAAAACCAATAAACCTTTCAATGAGGAAGGAATGCACTAAGACAGGGGTGTCAAACTTGCAATGTCACATGACGCGTCGTGACTTTTTTCCCATTGCCGGCAATGGGGTGGGCGCAGTTTGACATCCCTGCACTAAGAGAGACAGAAGGCAAACCTAAGAAGGTGAAGATGGGGGATTTTAACCATCCTGATATCAACTGAAAAACAAATTCTGCAGCAAGAGGGAAAGCCAACAGATTTTTGACATCTGTTGCAAACAACTTCATCTTTAAAAGAGGGAAGGGATAAACTAAGGTATCAGCTATACTGGGCTTCATATTTAGTAAAAGGAAAAAAATGGTAGAGGACCTAGGAATCTTGGGAGACAGTGACCATATCATCCTGCAGGCAGGGAGAACTGCATATAGACAGGTTCAAGGCTTCAATAAATTAATGGGAAAAGCAGGAAGGATTCCACTAGCAGAAATTCTGAAGGGAAAAATAGTTTATGAGGACTGATAAATTTTGAAAAATGGGTTATGTAAGGCCCAGGAACAAACAACACTAAAAAGAGAGGCTAAAAGATGGCATCTAGTGAAACAGAAATATAATGCCAATGACTGTTCTGCTCTCGGCTAGTCAGTTCTGGTTGCCACAGTAAAAAAAAAATGTTGAGGAACTCAAAAATGCAAAAAAGAGCAAAATAAAATAAAATAAAAATAAGATGGTGAGGTGCTTGGAGAATAAATCCTATGAAGAATGGTTAAAGGATGTAGTCATATTAAAGAAGAGAAGGCCAAGTTGATATATGACAGCAGTCTTGCCATACTTGGAAGGAGGATGCAGGTTTATTTCCATAGGGCAGGGCAAGAATCAATAGACAGAAGCATTACAAAAGGACATGCAAGCTTGAAATAAGAAAGAACACTATGTTTAGGATCTTTTCATTTTTATTATTTTAGTATTAGTATATTTCAAATTGACTGCTTTGTCTTTCATTTTTAAATTTTATTTGATGCCTTGAGTGCTTGCCTGGGTTGAAAGGAAAGTCAGTCAAATAAACGAAGATCTGTAAGTTACTTCTGTTTTAAAACATTTTTTTAAACTTTGTAACACTCCTAAAGCCCCATACTCTGTTACCCGGTTTCGGTTAGCAATATTAAAGGCGCTACTAATAATTATATTAAACATTATTTATTGTGGGATTCAGGAAGCAACAGTTTATTGAGGAAAGGAATGGACATTTAATACTCTTTATTATAATGAAAACAAGGGTTCAAAGATGTTAAAGTAGGATAAAACTGTCTACTGTAGAAATGGATGAATCTGTTAGTTTTAGTTTCACTTAATATTTCCAAGAAGGTTTTTTTTTTCTATCCCTTTTCTATGTTTTTTATTTGTTCTTTTTTAAGACTATAAAGAAGTCCAAAACAATTTTTAGAACTTGGAGAAGAGCAAATTCCTTAATATCCAAGACTGCAAGACCTCACTCTAGCAGTTGTGGCTATCATCTGCTAGCATACAGACTGCTACATTTTGAACCAGTTGCAGTTTCTGAGTAATCTTCAAAAACAGCCTATTGAAAAAGCATTGTAGGGGCTTAGAGCTAACAAAACAGGCGGTTGAGCTTATCTAAAGGGCACTCCATCCACTTCAACCAAATTCACAGGCTGAAATAAATTCCATTTCACATGGGCAAGACATTTCCCAATTACCACTTCAGGATTTTTCCATAAAGAAATACGACTCGAGTGAATTAGAACAACTTTATTAGTGAAGTATTGTGCAAACATGTCACAAAAGCAGCAGGTGGACAGATTTTTCTGTCCATCCTTCCATAGGAAGGAATGTGCCTCCTTGAATGGCACTGCAGGATGATAAACCACTGATGTGCAGAGAGGAGAAAAGTATGTAAAGATACAGTATATGTATGTGTTTATATACAGATAGTCCTCCCTTAGTAATAGTCACTAAGTGAAAAGTGTGTGTGTGTGTGAGAGGGGGGAGGGGGGAGAGAAGTTGTGAAGATTACTGGTTCCTGCCATCCCATTCAGATAAAGTTCTCTTGTTCAGTGTCTCATGCCTAACACATCGCCCTCCCTTTTACCCCCTTGTAGAGCAGATTGCTTAAACAAGCTATCTCTTCCTAAGCTGCTTTTCTCCAGAGCATAGTTCTTTCCTAAAAATGTGCTAACAAGATAACAAGCTCAGCTCTGTGAACCTAATGAACTGACTAGAATAGCAGGCTCACAGCAGCTGCCTGAAACTGACCAGACCTTAATCAATTTGCTACTGAAGGCTTCTGTTGTACTAAATGCACTCATTAGTCTGAAAATCTTTTTAAATTATCATTTATTACTGCTGTATTTGTGAATAGTAGCTATCTGAGGTACTTGCTAAATAAGGGTTACCTGTATTTTTTTTAATATAGATCTACATAGCTACCTAATCAACACAAGAATCTAGGTGACTAACAGTCAACAGAACAAAAACAATAACACATTAAACAAATGCAGTAAATGCATCATAAGGTGCCTGGACTGATCCCATAAAGTTCACATCCAATCATCACACCAAGATGAATGAATTAATGCAGCATCCTGTTCCAATATGTGGTGAAGAATAGGAGATGACAAAAGCTCCTAATAGGAAGTGATAAAAGCATGAGTGACAATATGCATTTATCTCCCAGATCTTCATGGTTTAGGCTGTATCCTTCCATAGCTATTTTATGTGACCAAAAAAGGGACAAAGCTCAAGAAGACCCAAACTGTTAGACAATTACAGTTATCTCACATGCTAGTAAAATAAAGCTCAAGATTCTGGCATCCAAATTTCATCAAAACATGGAACAAGAACTACCAGATGTACAAGTTAGATTCAGAAGAGGCAAAAGCACCCAAAGCCACATGGTGGACATCCAACAGTAAAAGTAATAATCACTGATGTCAGAACCAGAACTCAGGTTATTATTGACCAAATTCTGGAAAATGATGGGCCAATGGTTAGAAGCAATTAAACATCACCTAATTTAAAAAAAACAAAGTATTTTTTATTGATATTGTATTACTTACTCATTAATGATCAAATCTGGAGCAAAACATAGTAGACTTCCATTAGACTGTTTATATGATCTCCATCCTAGAGCAAAAGCCATCAGAAACATCCACGAATACTGCAGTAGAGTCATCTGGTCATCTAGATGCAAGTTTCTGAAGCCTGTTTGAAAATAAATGTGGATCATCTGGACATTATAATTGAAATACTGCTTACCCAAAGTATTGTTTTCATATTCATAATAGTTTCTTGAGAAATTATTTTGTTTAAAAAATTGTTTAAAAACCAAGAATGGGGAACTTGCAGTCCTTTGCCTAATCTCAAACAGTCAATGAGTGAATTTAGCCTTTTAAATAAGAGCAATTATTCCTCTGATTTCTTGGGAGAAAGAAGGAAAGAAAGAAGAGTGATCTTGTGTATGGTTAATATGAGGTTCCCAGAGATTATCTTCAAGGTAATGATAACTATGCCAAAACCAAACGAAGTCACCCCTCACCTCCCCCCTCTTCAACTCATATCACTTACCTCAGGGGTGTCAAACTGCCGGCCCACGAGCCGTGCCCACCCCATTGCCAGCAATGGCAAAACCGGCCCGATACATTGCGCGACATCATGTGACGTCACGAGTTTGACATGCCTAACTTACCTGGTATTGCCTTTGCCCATTTCACTGCAGCAACCACTTGTCTTCCACCTAACATATTGAGAGTTGACATTATGCGCCAAGTTGTGTCTGGTATTGTGCTGTCATAGCCTGAAAACATCACTTCTGGCTCAATGACTTCCAGCAGGGAAACTAGGGTAGGAGTCAGCTGTGGCAGTGAGGCAGGAACTATAGCTTTGTTTGTGGGATTTTCAGCAGTATCCCTTCCTGCAGGCACGCTGGATTGTTGAATTCCTTTTATTTTCTTTTTTGTCTTTCGTGCTAGAATGTTATTAGAAAATTAAGAAAAGCAAAAACATAAAAAATATTTTGTTTCAACACCACAGACATTCAATTGACTTAAAAGTTTTATTTGTATGAACAAAAGATGAAACCATCAATTATATTTGAAAAGAAACACTGCATAGGGAGAATTAATGAAGCAAGAAACAAATAAAAATATTTTGTGTCTGGCTGTTTCAATAAGCTCTTCTAATAATAAATAATTATGACACAAAATGTAAGAGACAGCATACTGTATATGCTATAGAACTGGGCATCTTTTATTAAAGAATAAAAATTTGAAACATGGATTATACAAAACTGAAGACTGACTGCTGTACAGTTGGACCAAAGCTGAAAATTTTCCTAGTCAATTCATAATACTTTACTTAAACCATGGATAAAATGTGCTAGATGTACTGCTTAAATTATTGCCTCACAAATAGTGGTCTGTAATTTGCAAAGTAATTATTTCACCAGTATGACTTTTCACTTTTTATGTACTTAATCCTAAAAACAGAATATTAACGCACAAAACAGTCACCTCTCACTAGATAATTAGATAGGAAGACAGAGACCCAACTTTCTATATATGGTGGTGAGGTAAATTATATCACAGGAATCACACTGGTATGCACATTTCCCTGATCTAATTATTTCCTCTACCTGGTATCTGCCAAGCAACAGATATAAAAAGCAAAGAAATGGTCTTTATGTAGTTCCTGTTGTTATTCATTGTAACAGGACCTGTTATTTATTTTGTAATGCCAAGAGTTCAAAGTACAAAAGGTCCAACCAATCACCATCACCATCACCTATTAGTTAGATGCCACTGATTCAGGTTCAGCTTTTTCTCTGCATGAAAATACGATTACCATCTCAACCTCTCTCTTCAGTAATATTTTGAATTTCTTACAAATATGTTCCAATAATCTCTTTGATGGCTTACATCCACTCTATTCAAGGTCAATGCTGTCTTCTTCCCTCAGATTTGACAATTGCATTTTTTCCTACTTTATCATTTGGTTATGGTGCACATTCAAGGCACACAAGTTTCTTCTTGCAGAGAAGTCTTTATTTGGTCCAGGGCTGCCTGACAGAGTTTTCTTATAATCCATGGTATTCTTACTATCCAAATACAGATCCTTAATTTGAAAGTATCTCATTCTTTCTCTTATTCTTTTTCAGGGTCCACTTTCACAACTGTAAATTACTACTGGAAAGATGATTCTTTAATTATTCTCATCTCTCAGAACATTTTCCTTTCGTGATCTCGCCTAAATTTGTCATTGCCTTCCTTTTAAGATTAATTTCTCTGCTTTCCAGCTTGCTGTTCTTTTATTCTTGAGGACAAGAAAATTAAAGCTAGTACCTACCTTCTCTTCTTTGTTGTAGACCACATTGTCACACAGTATGATATTTTCTGTCATTTAATGTTTAATATTACTGTGATTTTTCACTTTTCAACAAGTTGTTCTAGTCTTATTACTTTCAGCTAACAAAATAGTGTCTGCATATCCCCATTCTTACTGGGTTTTTTTTTTAAACCAGCAGTTCCCTGCTCCCTCTGGCAATTACTTCTAATCCCTTTCTTGCAGTTTTTTCTCTGTTTAAGTTAAATAAATATGAGGAAAATATGCATGCTTGTTTCACTCCCACCCCTAATTTGAACCATTTCTCCAAATTAAATACTTATAGTAGCTTCTTGTTTTCTGTAAATACTCCTCACAAAAAAATATAAGCGCATTCTACCACACTCATTAGTCTTAAAACATTCTACATTCTGGCTTCATTGACATAGTTAATGGTCTTGCTGTAGTAAGTAATGCTCTATTATCCATGTTAAGTTAGCCAAGGCAGTCCTACGTTTTCTGAAACCTGCCTGTTCATTTATTATTTATCAAATGTCTACATTGTCCATCTCACCTAAGTGGGCGGTTTATAATTTAGCATTTCTTTCTTTACATCCGGTTCTATTATTTAAGATTTTACAAGTTTCCTTATGTGAGGAATTTGTATAATGGTGCAGTAATTTGTGAATTTCTTACATCTCCCTTCCTTCTTTGGTATAGCTGTACACATTGAATTTTCCCACACAGGCCACACAGACTTGTTCCTTACTCAATATTTTTATCTTATTTTTATGTGATTTTTTTCTTTATATTTCTGTATTTTATATTTTGATAAACTAATAAAAAATTTGAAATTGATTTTTCTGATCCTCTTATTTATTTCTTGACATTCTTGATAGACATTAGTGTTTCTTATCTGATAGTGGAAATCTACATTCAATCACCATATCTTTTTGTTGCACTAGGCTTTTGTTTTCTGTTCTATTTTGATTATGAAAACAGCTTGTTGTTCGATCTTTTCTGCTCTGAAACTTTGGATTCCTCCCCCATCCTTCATATTTTTAAGGCATACTAAGTGTGTGTTTGTGAGTGTGTGTGTGACAGAGAGAGAGAGAGAGAGAGAGAGAGAGAGAGAGAGAGAGAGAGAGAGAGAGAGAGAGAGAGAGAGAGAGAGAGAGAGAGATTGATTCATCTAGTGGTTAAGCTACTGAAGTAGAAAACTGACTGGCTGACCTTGGGCCAGTCACTCTGTCTCAACAATGGTCAATGCTTGGTTGATCCGAAAAAGTTGTCCTACATTTGCAGAAAAAAATGCTAGGAAGAACAAAAATACTGATTTTTTATTTTTGTAGTCTATATTCTCCATGGAGTATCTTGCTGACACATCTACTATACTGTATTTAATTAACAAGTTTAATCTTTACATCTGACATCAACAATTCATGGTCTGCTCCAAAATTGGAAGAGGTTTTGCTAACTGGATTGCATTTTTCCATCATCTGTTTCCTATTATGTAGTCGGTTTGAGTCCAATATTGTCCATGCAGTGACAACGTAGTGCATAATCTATGTAATCTAAGGCAAATGTGTATAGTATATAGTTTATGTAATCCGAGGCAAATGTTGTAAATGTTGTAGTTTATGTAATCCGAGGCAAATGTACATCATTGCATCTACTCAGCCTATTCCTTCCTTTGATCCCCCTCCTTCTGCCATTCCAAACACCCATACTAGAACTAAAACAATTCCCTGATGTTGCCTGATATATCTCTTATAATTTGCCATAACATTTTCAATATCTTCTTCTGTAGTAAATACATATATTTTCCTGTCCCACAGCATTATTTTGTCTGATAATAACTCTGGCAGAATGTTGGTAAAAAGGGTACAAGAAATGACAACTACCAAAATTTATCACTTAAGGAATTAATCAGGTAGATGCGTGAGTGGCCTTGGGCATATATTGTGTTTTTGTTTCAAAGTTTTGTTTATTGTTTACCTGATGTTAGCCACTCAGAGTCACGTCTGCAAATTGGGCAACCTTGTAAACTGACTGAAAGACTGATTAAATAAAGCACAATATGACGGTAGGCAGGAAATGTGTAAATGTAACTTCTGCTCTTTAGCAAGTCACTAAAGGGTGTATGACCATGAGAAAAAATGCATGTTTGCTGAGTTAGAGAAAAATTTATGATGAAGTGATTAGGTTTGCATTATGGGTACAGAGTATATAGTTATATGGGTTGAAGATTGGAGTTGAAGGTTGGTTATTCAATATGGTAAGACAGAAATATAGTAACAATCAATGGAATGCCTAGTAACTGGTCCAACACTGAGCAGGGAATAAGATGAGAATATGTGATATGCCCTGGATTGCTTGATGTATTTATGGATAATGTACAGTATGAGGAACACATCTGGTGAAATTTGAAGTCTGAGAATATGGAGATTCTCAGTCATCCAAGTCATAGTTATCCCAAAGGTGCTTTTTCACGAGGCAACTGGACTTTGTTTTTCTTTGAAGACGTTTCGCTTCTCATCCAAGAAGCTTCTTCAGCTCTGACTGCATGGTGGTGAATGGAAGGATTTATACTGAAAATTTTAATTTATAATGAAATCCTTCCATTCCCCACTATCCAGTCAGAGCTGAAGAAGCTTGTTGGATGAGAAGCAAAATGTCTTCAAAGAAAAGCAAGAAAGTCCAGTTGCCTCGTGAAAAAGGACCTTTGGGATAGAGGTCTGTTTATCCATCCATCAGATTTATATAGCCGCTATCTCACAATCAAGTAACTGTTGCTAATATAAGTGCATGTATAATCATGTCTATGGAGATTCTCAGTCATCCAGATCATAGTTATCCTGAAGATGCTTTTCACGAGGCAACTGGACTTTCTTGTTTTTCTTTGAAGACATTTTGCTTCTCATCCAAGAAGCTTCTTCAGCTTTGACTGGATGGTGGGGAATGGAAAGATTTATACTCCTGCAGACAGCTGTTCATTTGCATTCTTTTAGCGAGTCATTAATGCTACCTGGAGGCTTATCTCTGTCTTCAGGCTCACCTGAGTAGTGCAAATGGGTGTGGAGCCTTCTTGGAACTGCTGAAAGGACAGTGTTGTAGACTGGAGATAGATGATGTTGGATCCCTCCCCCTCTGTTGAGAGAGGGCTGTTCAATTTTGACATAGATGGCCTCTTTGATCTCTCTTTCAAACCAGCGGTCCTCTCTGTCTAAAATGTAGACTTTGCTGTTTTCGAAAGAGTGGCCTTTGTCTTTTAAATGCAGATGGACTACTAACTCTTGTCCTGATGGGTTTGTTCTCCTATGTTGTGCCATACATTTATGAAGTTGTTGTTTTGTTTCCCAATGTACAGATCTGCACATGGCTCACTGCATTGTACTGCAGATATCATGTTGCTCAGTTTGTGTCTGGGTGTTTTATCCTTGGGGTGGATAAAACACCCAGCCACAAACTGAGCAATGTGGTATATGCAATACAATGCAGTAGAAATAAAGATGGCTTGCAAGGTCAGGAAGTTACTAGCAACACCTACTATTTTCACATGAAATCTAGACTACAATTTTCCATTATATTTCAAATATGAAATATATAATTGCTGCATAGTTTTTCTCAGAATAAAATTACTGCATA